CCACTCCCAAGAATTTTTGGTACAAGAAATATTTAATAGCTTTATACCACAACATAATATTAAGAAATACTGTGTTGTTTAAAGAGATTTCTTAGTTTCAGATGCTTTTGCTACATATTTGTAAATGTCACTAGACTAAATGCAGGTACTTCTTATGGAATGTTTATGACGCGCCATATTCCTACCTGAAGTTCCATACGTAGTCTTAACCTCAAAATTATTTTTCTGGCCATGTTTATTATTCTTAAATTATCATATACCTCACTAACCTGCATGTTGACCTGACCCATACATGCGCTGAATTATATCTCTATGTCTTAAATTTAAGAATCATTGGAATCGCATTTAACACTCTTTATTAAACCCAATATGGTCGTTAACGTTACAAATTTCTGATGATTTTGAACCACCTAAAGTAACAATACCTATTTTTCCACTGGCTAATCCTCAGTCAACACTATAACTAGTTGAACATAATGGTTTCAGAATATCGTCATAAAGCATCGTCATGGCTTGACAATCGCCTAATATGATTGATAAAATTGATGGAACTAATAAAAAAATCGGTCAACAAATTGACTTAAAATTATCGTAAATAGTGTTGTTTTTGTTTTACCTTCATTCACTACAGATGATTACAGTATGTTTCTATATCAGTTGCTCATTCAGTAAATATCTCAAAACCTTGTCAATCTAATTTGAGGTTTAGCTACACAATCATGATTGCAAAGCATCAGCATAAGCGGTCGAGCAAATATCCTGCAAACTGAAAACATCACTGTCGAACTCACCTCAACACTGAATAAGGTTCAAGCCATCGTCATAGACATGAGTTGGGAGCGTACTCCCCTTGGTTACAACTTATGTTTTCCCTGATAACCACATGAACATCACTCACCGTTAATCACCTTGTGAAGTTTTATTTAGACGGAAGCATCATGCATCATCACAGCACCTATGTTTATGGCACATAGGCTTGATCGGTTTAAACAGTTCTTAGTCACTATTTGTAACTAACTTATGTGAAGCTCGATTCTTGCAACTAACCCTAATGCACCATCAGCTGGTGAACATGAATATAAATAACATTGAGCCTAGAGTGTTTCTTTTACGGATACACACGTTTAACTAATTGCTCTTAGCTAACTGTCCAAAATTCGCATAATTATCACTTTTCATGTATTAAAAATGTTTTTAATAACCATTCATATGTATTAGTAGTATTACTAAATCATATCACGGTCTAGTAAAAATGAGGTCGAGAAAATCTCCCCAAAATAAATAAACCGTATCAAATCCGCTGGAACACTAGTTGAAGTTCTTCTTCTCCACGGTAATACATTTGGAGTTTAGTCCTATTGTTAATTTGGGTTCGTAAGTTGAAAATAGATCGATATACCGTACTTCAATAACAGAAATGAGCAAAAGCTTGGATGTAACATAAAGTTCTTCAATTATTGGTTCTGTGTTCATACCTTGGATTTGTCTGGACATTTTGGACCAAATTTTCTGATCCTATTGATCGATTTCGTGTGGATTAATTCGGATTTGTTTTGGTAATCGATTCTTTTTTAACCAAGGCATACGATGGAAATGAGAAGCAAAAGACCTAAGGAAAATGACGAGATGGAAGGTAAAATTTCTAAAGCTGTTTGTGGTATGTCTGATGTTAATGATGATAAACGTGATGTTAGTAATAATAATATATCCTCTGATCAGCTTAGTACTTCTAGATTAAAATTAGGCAAGGCATTACTAAGGAAGAAAAATTTAGAAAAGAGACTTGAGTTAGAAAGTCAGCTTAAGATGTTAAATCTCCAAAAAGAGGTTGATGTGACTGAATTAGAATGTAGGGTCATAGAGGGCGATAATCCGCTGTCCGTGGACAAATATGAGGTAAATGCTAAGGTGAAAAGGTATTTGGATTGTGATACTGGTTGTAATAATCATTCAAGGGAGATATTTAGCATCTCAAAAAGCGATCGGGTTGATGAGTTGAAGGATACGTTACATGCTATGGTTAATAATATGGTTTTACCCAAGATTGATATGATGTATTTCGATGGACAACCGAGTCCGTACCGCCGTTTTAATAGCTAGTTTACTAGCATTATCGAGAGTAAACTGACCGATAGAGGCCAATTGTTGTGATATTCGTTATACTATTGTAAAGGAAAGGCAAGGACGGCTATTGAAGCCCGCATTTCTCTGCCCAGTCATTTGGGTTATGATAGAGCTAAACAAATTTTATATGATCTATTTGGTAAGGAACACCTTGTCGCTCGTGAAATGATTACTGAGTTACTTAACCACAAATCTGTTGAAGGATTTGCCGATAGCTTAACTGACTTCGCAGTTAAGCTACGTCATGCATGCATAACATTGAAGGAAACGAGACATATGTCTGGTGTGAATTATACGGCAAATTTGGAAATAACAATGTCGTGTCTACCACCAGAACTACAAAATAAGTGGGCGAGACTTGCCGATAAGATTATGATGGCCGAGAAGGAGCCGAGCTCTAAAGAATTTGTGATCTTTGTAGAAGAAAGAGCCAGGCTTGCTCGGACACGTTTTGGTAGGTTGGCACATTGTAACTCAAAGTTCTGTGAAAGTAATTAAGAATGCCAAGTTGATAAGAGATCACGCTTTAATGTAGTTAAGCGGGAACCAAGCAACTCATTCAAGGCTTTCAGTTGGGAAATTTGCTTTGGTGATCACAAAGAGACAGTGTACGAAGTTATCGAAAATAAATGTTACGGAAAGGAGACTTTGTCACGTGATATTTGACGGGTCATGAAACATTATGCAACCAACTTACATTAAAGGACAGGCTCATTCGGCAGTGGTAGCAATCTGTTGCCTGTTCCTGATGAATTATGGTCCCTTATGATATTAGTACTGCTCTAATAATAGACCCAATCCTAAAATTGTACGTTTGTCATGATGTAACCGCTTATCTATAATATCTTACGTGGAAGTCGTATCATTGTCTACACCGACTCATCGTGTCGTAACAATTGCCAGTATATGATGGAGAACATATTCAGGCTGGAGATGGAACAATATATTTAATATGAGTGATAGCAAGTTGCAGAGATTGACCACGCCTGCAAGGCCGAGCCATGCCGTTCGACCACTTCGAACTAACCCTATTCATTCTTTCCGCCTTCTCCATCATTTGGTTTTCCTCTGATTTAAATATCGAACACATATTTTCTCAGTTGTCTCGTGTTCAGCTTTGAAGATTGTGTGGTTATGGCCCAATGCTAGTACATACCTACCCATCATAATATATTTCTGTAATGACTTCATTTGTGGTGTAAGGTCATCAAAGTATCTATCGTACTTTGTTATGACGAGACTTTAGTCTGCGCAACGTACTAACTGTTAGTCGTGACTTTGTACGAACTTAGGTTGAGTAGTTATGAGTTGACCTAAAATAAATAGACATATTTCAAAACAATAAAGCTCACTTCCATATTTTGTATAGACATCATATTTCTTTGTATTTTTGTACAGGCAACTCCCGCCTCACAGTGTGCTGTTACACTGGCCAGTGGTCCTGGCACTCAAATGCTGTTAACATCATCAGTAAAGATGACGTGATAGACACTACAAATGAAACACTGTACAGGACATAGTGAAGCTTAGGATTATATTTGCATTCTCGGTTTCGAAAGTAACCACTAACACTCTGTATTCAGTTTGTGACCAAACCACCAATACAGGATGATTTACGATAAGACTCCTTATCTTCTAGGCAAAAATGTAGTGATTTAATGACTTTCTGAAGGTCCGGATTCCGAAAACATACCTAGACTTTCTAGATCAGATGTCTGTGAAATAGATATTTGAACCGATTATGTGTGTCTCTGAAAACATGGGTTCATTTCATAAGGAAGATGCAGGTAACTTATGAAAATCATTTAGTGTAACCCTTTAATTTAAATGGCGGCACTCATTACTAAACGCGGGGAGCACTTTACATTTATGCGATCCAGACGCGTACTGATGGGAGAGTTAGGCATAGAAGTAAATCAAACCCAGTCTTTCTGCTGATGGAGTACAGATGATAAAATAATGGGGTGAGGAAGGGACTAGTTAACTGAAAAAGCGAGCCCATAGGGCTTCTATATCTACATAAGACTTCATCTGCCAAAAGCGTCTCTCAAACACGTTCTAGATTGAACTCGCATACGGATATCATGCTTAACAAAAGAGGTAGGCTACATTAAAGGAAATCTTGGACAGGTACACTGAAAAATCTGTTCTGAGTTATAGATGAATACTACCAGTGAATTTTGGCTGAATGTTACCGGTCAGTTTAATTCACTGTATTGCCTAAAATGTTCAGAACTTCCAATTAGTCACTGTTTGCGAATGTGGTGTTAAATTGGCGAAAATCATCAATCCACGCGAGCTGATTCCTTGTAATTACTAAGTTTTGTGGCTTTTGGAAGTCTTACCTCGTTTATCACAAAAAATATCAATGAGCTTAATGTTTCCAACTGAAATTATCTCGTTATCTTTCTCGAGAGTTCCGTCGACAGCAATCAAGTGGTGTGGGCGAAGAACGTCTTTACAAGTGGAACCTTTATAATCGATGTATACAAACTCAGCCAGACCATGAGTCGGGAATGGAGTTCGAAGATATATTTGGCAGGCTATCGATTTGTCTATTAGCGTTTAGTCTAAACTGGCTAGTAGTTGAAAGGGATGCGTAGCATCGCTTACCAACCCGTAGTTTGGTGTGAATGTCTGGCCAAGCGACGTCAGCTGCGGTGTGTCCATGAAGATCAATAAGGTCAGCATCAATGTCGACGACCAACAAAACTATTTTTTTCGGGGATTTATTTACTATTACATGCCCAATGTACTTCGTGTCCTCATATATAAATTCACACATAAAAACGAAAGTTTACTGTTTAATTAACTTTTGATCCACCGATAATTTATAATCAGTGCCTAAAATCACTATTTGAAGTACTTGTTTTTCTATATCACAACCTAAGGTTTAAGAAGTTGCGCCTTCTTCAGATCTTAGATGGTATTAACATTTTCATTCTCACCTGCATCGGTTGTGGAACCTGACTGCTTACGAAATGTAGTTAAGTTGGCAAGAGAAAACAATTTACTTCTTTCGGAAGAAACTTGCTGGTGCCTGCTGGACTCATGTCTGTCGAAAATTCCGTTGAAGAAAACTTACCAACTTCTAGATGAATGTACGTTTGCCTGACTACATGTTTACCGTCATTTAGTATACAGTACTGAAGAGCTAAGGTTTCCAGAAGGTAGCGAGTTTGCAGTTGAGTCCATACGTGCCAGATCTGTTAACAAAGTAATATCACATTTTCGTATTCATAACTCCAGGGTGTTGTTTTCTATTATGTAAAATGGGTTGGGTGGCCACCTGTGTTCAATACATGGGAACCAGAATCTAATCTTCATGGATGTGAGGATTTAATACAAAAATTTATTGAATCTTATGGTTCGACGATTGGAATGCTTCCGGTATGTTCTGTTGATAATTAATCATATATTCAGCCTGATAATCAACCTGATAGAAAATCACAGGTTCAGGAAGTAATGGATCGATTGAAGGAAGCTGTCAATACATCTGGGTCGCTACCATTATATCTACTTGAACGATTTTCTAGTCTCCAACCTGATCCTACTAATAGCCTTCGACCATACAAACACTTACCCACCATAAACATCGAAAAGCTTTTTTCATCACAAATATCACAAGGCATTATAGAATCTATTTCACTCAAGCGACCTCCCAGTGTCGCTGATCTCTTGCCAGTTTCTACCAAACGTATTCGTCTTAGTCGGAAAGATAAACAAGTGTTAGATTCTGCTCTAAGTGCTTTTCAACAAAAACTCAACACTGTATACTCAAATGAAGCACCAATCACTGTCGAAAATTCTGTAGATTCTGAATGTGAGTCCATATTCTTACGTAAAAGTTTGTCTAGCAATGTATTTTAATGAATCATTATGAAGCTGGATTTCTGTTTCCATCAGACATTCGCACTTAAATGTCTTGTAAAAAAATGTATATTCACTCTATGGACAAGCTGAGATGCATTTATTCAGTGCTTGCTGCATTTATTAGTCATTAAGAAGTATTTACTAAACCTAGTTACTATGCTTTTAGTAACCTTAGGATTAGGATCAGTCAGCGAGGTCGAAATGACTGATTTGCTAGTGAATAAACTGCTTAGAATATCTTTCATATTAAACGAGTGAGACCGGTAAATTAAGCGTACAGAATAACGCTGCAAGCATACTATGGTCGCCTGAACTTCCATGGTAAGGTGGTCACCACAACAGCTTTAATTCTCACACATTCGATTGGTACAGACTGGTTCTGAAACATTTTGTTCTTAGTATATGAAATACAACCCAAATATCCTTTTAATCTTACTCAATGGATCTATAAGACTACATTTCATTAGCATAATCAGATAGTGTCGTTGACATGCTCCCAGTCAACAAGATAGTGTTCAGGTAAGTTATTATTTAATTAACCTGACGATGGGTCAATTACCTATAGGAGCACGTTTACAAAGAAATCAAACAAAATCGGTGAACAGTGAGTCGAGTAGTCCTGACGTACACCTAAAGTTATCAATCCCGATGACAATTCTCCATAAGCTCTGATTTGACCATCGGTATTCAAGTAAAGTCCTTACAGGGTTGGTATATTTTGGCAGGCTTTTTGATTCCCGACACTACCACAGGACCTCTCGATCAACAGAGTCAAATAATAGCTTAAGGTCAAGGAATATAACTGAGGTCAGATGTCAGAAAGTATGTCTATATTCCAAAACCTGACGATCAATACCTCATTAAAACCTAGTTAAAGTAGTTGATCTTCTGTAGCTTCGTTTAGCGTTTTGGATTTTAGAATTGTTTGTCCATATAAGCAACAATGCTAGCGAATTAAAATAAGTGAGGGTAGTTAACTAGTGATGTGAGCAGTTGTGACTTCGAGTTGATAATAGTCTTTGATATGGATTATTACTTTTTCGGCAGACTGCCTCTAGCAATCAAACACATGACAACGTTAGCTTATTAGAGTACTAATTGTCGGTTTTTGTTGAACATTTTATAGGTATCTCATAAATACAGTCAGTCAGTCATTCAGCTACAACATGGGACCAGGCACATCTAAGCATCGGTCCAAGTTGCCATACCTCGTTAGCACAACAAGTTAAATACAGAATTCATAGAAGTAGTTAATTCAATGGTGATAATATATAAAATATATATAATATATAAAAGAAAGACTGCATATAAGGATATGGTACAGAAAGAAAGAATTAGTTGGCAGAAAGAAAGATATAAAGCAATTTTAATCTCACGGTTTAAGGGAAGACAGAGTGTATACACCGATGCCATCGTGATCGATTCTGAACCGTTTAACCCAGTCTTCAACCATTGGTTACAATAGTGACGCGGACCCCGACCAAGTAGTCTGCATGTAACTGCATGGCTCAGACAAGAAGTTAGTGACTTCAAGCACTGATGCCACGTTTTGGTTTGACCGCCCCTAACTTTCTTCCAACCATTCCCCACACTAGTCAGCATTGCGCGTCGTGGTAATCGGTGTTTAGGCATGCTCAACACGTGGCCCAACCATCTCAGTCGGTGAAGATTTACAACCTCATCAACTGATATACCATCATTCCCTAATACCCTGTGTCTAACCTCACTATTACCCAGTGGTCCCAGCAGATGTTGGCCATATTTCTAAGGCATATGTGGTCAAGTACTAGTAACTGACGGGTATTTTCTACAGTTAATAGCCGTTTCGCGGCCGTAAAGTAAAACAACGAATTGCCGCGCAGTATACTCGTCCCTTGATTGATAGACGGATATCTCGCCTTCTCCATAGTTGACGTAAGTTGGAAGCCACTAGAAAGACATTTGTGACACATCTTCACGCCATGTAAGCCAATGTTTCAAGATGGTAACATGGTTTGAATTATCATCACTGGACACAAACACGTAGAATCCTCTGGAGATAATGATGATCAGGTATAAAACGTGGCCAAATATCCTCAACCCACAGTGTCCGGGTTTCCCAAACATAGGTTAGGAGTGCTCTCACAAACACTTTGTAAACTTAATCTTTTACGGCCAGATTAACATCATGACGGCGCTAAAGATGGTTCATATTGGCTCAAGCTGCTCTGCCTTACACCATACGTTGATTGACCTCATCTGAAATGAAATCATCAACCCACACAACTACCTAGGTTCAAGAACGTTTCGACTATTTTTAAGAGCTCTATAAAGAGTGAGTATAAGCATCAGCTGCTGCCAGTCTTGTAAAAGTACTTTGCATTTGGGAGGTGTAAGGCATATAAGATTTCTACGGATATTGATTGCTCTTATTACCAAACCTTTTCAAAGAACCCAGCCAGTTCCCTAATCGGAAGTTTGGCACCATTCTTACAAAAGGTTGAGGTTAACTCGTCTAGGTTTGATTGTTTGTGGTGCTTCAGAAGATGGATTCTCTTGCGGAGCTTTGTCTCATTAGATGTATCAGCCGTCACTGATCACGAAAGGAACGAAAGTGATTGATGTTGCTGGGTAGGGGCGAATGGGCTGGACTGTCTCTTGAAGAACTCTGTCCATCGTCCAAGATGTTGAGCGTTGTTGATTAGGGTCCTAATAGCTTCATAAATTGTTTCACTCCAGACTTACTGATGTCTTTGGCTCGGGTGAATTGACAGCTCCCGACAGTTGTCTGATGAAACTCTTGCTTCCAACTCGCATGTTTCGACTACGAGGCCTCTCAGTCCTTAAGAAAACTTTATACAATTACCTTGTGTAAGAGTTTATTTTTATTGCCACGCTCCTGATTAGCTGGAGTTGACTGACGCTCGTCAAGGGGTTGTAAGGAGACTGTAAAAAAACAAATCTTAGGAGCGAGATGTTTTGCGAAGCCACAAGCAACCTTAATCGGCATTTTCATGGTATCATGCAAATGCAGACAGTGCTCATATATACTTTTCGGTGGGTTGATAGCTAGCCTTAAATCTAGTTTCGTTTGATATTGGGTTACGGCTGATGGTGTAACCAATTTGCTTACACCAATTCATTTAGGACGAAAAGTTTGTGGGCTACTAAAACATAAGATTGATGCAAACCAAGTGATGTTCAAAGTCCGCACAGTTATTTCAAAAGAAGTGAGTCTTATATATGATTACACCAATAGTAGCTGATCTCCACGTAGTCGACTTAAGTTCGGGCTTAAGTTGCTGAGGAAGGACTCAATGTAGTACATTGGCGATGACTGTACCGATAGTTGGTAGCTGGAAACAATTTTGTCTGCACAATACGTCAGGAGATGGTCACCACTATCTGGCCAACGTGACCCCAAAGATTATTCAGGCGAATTTCCTATGTTCCTAAATGCCTGACTTGTACATTAAAGTTTCTGGTCAGCACTATAATAATGTGCTTTCTTGAAGGGACCAGCAAACTGTTGGTAGAACTCATCCTTCGTTACATCTAAGCTGTAATCTATCAGAACGTAAGGGGAAATGAAGAAGAGACATCGTTTCCCATTATGATTTTACCTCACTTTGATAAATCTCTAATCTGGTGGCGCATAAATGACTGGTGATTGGGATTCGATCGATTAGCACCACCCTTGCTCTGGAGCTTAGAGGGACACCAACGCCAGCTTATCCGAACGAAAATGGCACAGGATCTCCAGATAACCTCACATGAAACAAGTTTTTCGAATCGACAGGTAGAGCATCACATTTGTACTACTTCACTGGAGTCTTGAATCCGGACTTCACGTACAACGAGTTGCTGTCAAGTAGAGAGATTTACTGATAAATAAACTTCTAGGAGTTTAAGTAGATCTTAGATTCCCTTCAATCGATATTCTTACAGAAAATACCTTAGCTCAACAACAGAATCGATCTTGACGAGAGACTAAACGTCTATGGTAAACATATGATCAGAGTAGTACTAGATCGTTTCCCAAATTTTACATTTTGCAACGATCTCTTTTTTCAAAATTAGTAGTTTATCTATTCAAAGCAAAAGTCAGTGGGATGTAGTTGTAGTACACTCACAGTGTTTCTGACTATCACCTAACGGAACTTTAAATAAATTAGTAGGACTTCTTAACTGTGACTTTATGAAATCACATGCTTGCCCCTAAATGCCCTGGTACGGCCGAGAGTGGGGAGAGTCCGCTCTCCCTCTCGAAATGCTCTCACATGGTCACGCGTATATAGCCTCTGCCAGGGAAGTCCTACTCACTGCCTTCTCGTGGCGGGGTGTTGTTTACGAAAATGAGAGGACGAGAAGCGAATGTCCGGCGCTTTAACCGGATTCCAAACCAATGGTGCACATGGGCTCCAGTATCCTGAGGGAACAAATGGCGTATGAACCAATCGTTGGTCACTGGCTTCCATGGGGCTGCATCTTACGATGCCCCACTGCTTTGTGGATCAGACCTTCAGGTCGAAGGCTCGGAGAGTGGCCCCCTAAGAAAACCACCTGCTTCGGTTTGGGCACCCGGACAGTATCACAGCCTACACACATTTCGAATGAGGTTTGTGTGGCGCATATGTATTTGGTGCCTCATTGTACCAATATCTGTGTTAAAATAAATAATAAATAAATCACGTTTACTGTAGTTTTGAATATGTATTTGTTTGGAGTTGGGAACCCACTAATCATACTGTTGGTACAAAAGATGTAGTCATTTTTGTAGAAGATAATACATATTGGACTTTTTGTAGGTTAGGTTTATCTAACCATATTCAGTGCCTAACACTTTAGATTTATGACAAACATTATTTTAATGTTGTGTAACATTGTAGTTAGATTGTTAATTATTTGTAACCAAAGCCGTCGTTATGCATATGACTCAATTTAAATATCTAGGAATCCTTTAGACTTTAATCCTGATATCTAAAAATTATTTTCACTTCAGGCCCACCAGTTGAATTCCAGCCGATTCCAGATTATTTACCTGGACAAGATGTATTCTTACCAACCAAAGCTCCTATTGGATGTGAATGTACGATGGACAATTTGGATCAGTCAGAGCTAGCCAAAATTCGTAAAGCAGATGGAAGCAGTTCACCAGTTATATATCCTTGTTGGATCAATAAACGACGTAGTTGTTGTGCTGTTCGTGCTGGTGCAGTCCCACCCTATGACAAACGGAAAAGGCTCGTTGCCCCTCCTGGTCATCCTGTTTATGAATGTAACTCCTTGTGCGTTCACTTAACATTATTTATGTATATTCTATTTGATTTTTAACCAATATTCATAGTTGATGAAAATTTATTTACCGATTACGATTTACTATTTATGGATTTAGGATTATGATAATCCCTTTGTCATTATTTGAAATATCAATAACTTATTTCATCTGTTTATTTCGGTTACCTTTATACAATTAATTTAAAAACTTGGGAGTGTGTTGTTTTATCTCACTATCCTTAACTTTCATGTACACTTTTCTTGTCACTAAAAAGACTTTGACTGTTGATATATTTTTTAATTTATCAGGTAGACTTATTACCAGAAAACTTAAAAAAAGACATACATGTTTTTGCTCTAATTCAGTTTGATTAACCCTAGCAAAAATTGTTAATAATTGGAGCTACTAAATGATCAAAACATTTTTCTAAAGAACTAATATAGTAGGTTTTAAGAAAATATTAAATTATAATCAAACTTACTTAATCTACATTGGATTCAATCAAAAGTGTAAACATTGTTTGGTTGACAACAAGCGTTTTTACGTTTTATAATTGATTGCTTCTAATTAGAATATATATGTCCCATAGATTTTTTCATTCAATCACTAAAATTAGTTACATGATACTTTATATTTAGTAGTACGATTTTTGATCGAGAATTATGTTTTTTTTTAGGTATTCATCTTGTTCAAATGGCTAATAAATTTTAAGTTTATTCATTAACAGTGTTTCCTTTATTTATTTCATCAGATTTTATTCCAAATAGGTATCTAGAAAATAAATTTATGTAGCCCACTATTTAGTGTTTTATAGGTTCATTGATAAATAACACTAATGTGATTTGTTATTGAACGTTGTTGTTAGTCTAGACGCTTTCCCTATATATTATACAATTTTCCCCAAGTATTATGAACTGTAAATAAGCGTTTAATCCACCATCGTTACAAATTGTTTCTTGGAAATGATTGGGTTTAGATAATTGTGTTTTGGTCACTTAATATCTAGACTTCAAAGTATGCTATTAACTACACTTCTGTACAGATGAATTGTAATAACCGTGTATGTAAAGTAAATTGACATAACGGAATTTAAACTCAGTTCAGCAGTTAAAAGTTAAGTATATCCATTACAAAACGATATTCTATGCATATTTAAATGGGTTCTAAATATTTCACAACTCTAAAACCTAGTTACTGGGTCACTAAAATCGTGTATATTAAATTTTCGAGTTTTGTCGATGTAGTCTACTCACTTTTATTTTTTAATTCATTTACCAAGTACGGACTTGTGTACTTGGCTTCGAGTCATACCCCAAGTATTAGGGCTTTTGATACTGTCCATTTTCCGGGACCGGAGTAGCGGAGCAATGTTCGAATCTGCTACTTAGTGACTGAGAATCAAATGACTGAACCACTGCCCCATCAATTTTACTCTTTTCAACCACATGAGCAATCTTGACTCTTACTGTTGTATATAGTAGAGTTATCAACTGGAAAGGGACGATATCATTGTTACTTAGCTTCTTATCACTGATTTCTGAGGACCTGTTCCTGTTCCTTTTAAAGTGTCCTTATTTGCTAATCACTAACTCATTATAAACGTTTTAGTAATTTTATGCAATTCCTTCAAATTTTAGATGTCCATGCGATTCGTCTTGTCCATTTCGTGTTGTTCAACTTGGACGGAAAGTTCCTTTGTGTGTCTTCCGTACACGTGACCGAGGATGGGGCGTTAAAACGGTGGTCCCCATTAGTAAAGGGACATTTGTCGTTGAATACTTAGGAGAGGTAAGCAACATTCTTAGATTTTAAAGAGTTTGGTGCTTTAAATTAATTCGTTGAGTAAAGTCATGTATACGTAACCCTCATCTTACTGATATATATTTTTCCTTATCATCGACTAACCAGTAGTCTGTTTTTGTGAACTGTTTCGTCACTGAATTAGTCTGATTTTATTGTGACAGATACACAGAAAGTCTACAATAAAGCCATCCCAGTGTATAACTTGCAGTTATTTCGCCAATGCTTCAAATCTATGTTTCTTCATTCGGTTTGAGAGACGTGGTACAACTAACTTCTAGCTGTAGTAATTTAAGTTAGGCTTGTGGATACAAATCAACCAGTCAGTCAACCTCGTACATATGTACATCTGCTAAAGTTCTCATACCCCGTTAGCATAGACAGATTAAGTTGTCTGACCAAATCCTAGAATACTAAAAGCAGTACAAGTATCAGTGGTGATTGGAAATATTCAATGTCGAAAATAAAATTAGTGAAATAAAACGCTATAAATGTTATAAGGAATTAAAGAAATCAGAATTTCAGGGAAGACGGAGAACGGATGCTTTTGCGACATTACAAATGATTTTGAGCCATGTCATTCAAAGTCTAGCCATTGGTTACGGTAGTCATGCGGACCCCAACCAAGTAGTCTATACCTATTAACATGGCTCAGTTCACTTATCTGTGACTTCGTGGACTGATGCCATATCTTGGTTTCCTCGCCTCTACCCTTCTTCTAGCCCACTCATACACCAAAGAACATCGCCCGTCAGTGTAGGTGATGGTTTGGCATACATAATACATGTCCCAACCACCTTCAGTTGACGAAGATTTACTACCTCACCGATTGACTTGTCATCCTCGCTTAACACCTTATTCCTAACCCAGACACTGCTTATTCCATGGTCCCAAAATGCAAGGGCAATGCTTCGAAGACACCTATAACAGAATACCAGTAGTTAGACGACGAAGTGTTATGGAGGCTAATATTTTGGACACTATATTTGTTAAACTTATTCCTCTGTGATTGTTACAACAGGATTTTTGTCCTTTCTTATAAATTGGGACAATCAGCGATCAAGACCAGTAAGATTGAACTACGTCCAGATCCCAGATTCTAGTTAAGATTTCATCTAGTCTAACTGTTAGAACTGGACCACCATCCCTAAAATTCTCAGGGCTTAGTCCATCAGACCCTGCTGTTATCCTTCGCCTTAGATTACGTATGTCTTTTTCAACCTGACTAAGAGTTGGTGGAGATAGTGAGTAAATAACGTATATCTGAAAACCAGTCGTACTGTGTCCCTAAAGTGTTCTGTCCATTAGTGCAATGTCCTGGATTGGGAGTGAATAACAGTCTCATCTTTCTCCAAGATATTCCCACTAACAGCTTTATTTTTGATGCCTGAATCCTTGATAAGTCTAAACAGTTATCTACTGTTACCTATGGCTGCTGCATTTTCCATGTATTCTGCTTTCACTATCCACCACCGCTCACGATCATTATGTAGGCTTTCTGTAGTCCTACGGTTAAGCTGCCTCCACTTCTCAATGTGTTCTGAGCCAAACGGGGTGAATTTCGGAGCATTTATCAGTTTTGTGGACGCCTCTGAAAACCACTGATTTTTCCCAACCTTTTGGTTCATGTTACTAGTAGATATCACTGCTGTTTCCACAGCATTTTGGATATCATATGAAGCTGCCTCGGGGTGGATGTCATTTTCACGATTGACTAGCTCCCTCCCTAGGTGTTCCTGAAATATATTAACTTTTTCATCATTAGGTTGTGCTCTAAGTAGTTTCCTTCTCGTGGCTTTTTCACGTCCAACAAGAAGCGGACCAATGCGTGCTCGAACTGGAGCATGATCTGGGTCTAAACATGCTCCAGAATGAGCGATAGTCTTCTGCCAAGCCTCTCCGACGATGGCTGACAGCAATGTGGTTTATTTGGATTCGTTGTCGGGCGGACTCTGAAGGCCATTACTAAGATGTGAGGGAGGGATCCGATCGTCAACAAGGTGATCTCGGGTGCCGTTAGGAGTATGAGGGCGGTTGTCACTTCCCGGTTTCGCACACTGTGGAAGTATATTTCTTCTTAGGGGACCTGAAAAATAGATGAATTAGTGGTGGCCTTAACAACTTGGGAGTGTATACCCCAGAGCCCAAGGATCAAATGATTGAGACCGGTTGCTAATTGCCTTTTTATGGAAAGGCTTTAATTTGTTAGCTCTGCACTTTAAATATCCTTGCCGCCGGAGACGGAAATCCGTGGGGTAAGGTGAGGTGTGATATTTCTAAAGTCGACTTTTTCTAACCTCTTCCGTTGTGAAAAAGCAGGGTCGCTCCAGATGCTAGTTGTTCGAGGCGAACACCTTACTGTTGCCACACCCATTTGCAGTCATCATATACCTTCTCTCTCGGATTTTAATCTGCTGCTTCTGGTCTTATCGTTCTCGAGCCGACCTTTAGTTTTAGGAAATTGAGTATGTCTCAACATTTCAGAATAAAACAGTTGTCATTCTTACTCTGGAAATTCCCGATGTAATGTATACAAATATTAGGAAGTAGGGCTACTGTCGAATAATTTTAACTATTGGGTCCTGTTATACTCCGTAAACTGTGTGAAATCTATGAAAGGCTGGCTTGCAAAGGTTTATGTGGTTTTTGTTTAAATCGTTGATATATTAAATACGTCTTCACTTAATGAAAAATCCCAGATACCTCTGCAAGGCGTAGGAGCATATTCCCGGAATATTTATGTTGAACGGTTGGATAAAGTGAACAACGTTTATTTGGGCAGCTATTTCGGTGCTAATGGTGGCTCGGGTGATGAGACCAATTTGCGCGTAGTCAAGCTCAGCGTGGTTTGTTCCAGTCTGATCCAACCCTGACCCTGTCATGATGTTAATCTGGCTGTAAAAGGCTGGGTTTACAGCGTTTCTATGGGACCATTATTATTTTGTGCCTGCTAAACCTGGAACCTTCGATCTGAGGATGTTTGGCGACATTTTATGTTTGACCGTCATTGTCTCCAAAAGACTATTTACATCCAGTTAGTTTGAACGTCTTGGCTTTTGCGATTGCTTCCCACTGGTATGAAATGAAAGGTGAAGACAGCCAGTGTATCAGTGGGCCTCAACATACACAAAGTAAATAGAAAGATCCTCAAATACAACACGGAGAATACCAACTCAATCACACTTGGTGGAGAAGCTCTTGAGGATGTGGGATCTTTCACGTACTTGGTCACCATCTTCGAGGATTGTTAAGTTAAGGATCGCGCTCCTACAGTTGTAGAACACATGGAACTCAAAACAATTGTTAACCAACATCAAAGGATCTTCATTACAACCATCAAGACATTTCTACTGTACGGGGCTGGAACTTCCAGAGCTACCACAACCACCATCAGAAAAGTACGAGTATTTCTACACAATTGTCTACGCAATATACTCAATGTCCGTCGGTCGGATACCATCAGCAACATTTTTACTGTGGGAGAGAACGAATTTGCTCCCATCTGTTGAGGAAATTAGGAAAAGACGATGGAGGTGGATAGTTCATAGATTGCGGAAATCACCAAACTGCATCATGAGGCAAGCCCTAACTTGTAATTCTGAAGGGAAACGGAAAAGTGGAAGTCCAATGAACAAACTGCGTCGAGAATTAGAAGCGTACTTGAAAAGGACGATTAGCAACTGAAGACAGCTTAGAAGGATTGTTTGGGACAGAGTTGGGTGGATAATGCTGGTGGGCGACCTATGCTGTTCCACGAGGGGCAACAGGCTTAAGTTGGTTAGTAAGGTATGAGATGAAGCAATATGAAACAATCGTAATACAAAGATCTCTTTCCAAGTAGATGTAGATTTGTATACGTGTATTCTGGGTGGAAAGGATTAGTTTCTGTAGTGATAACACGTCAACAATATCTTGTTGTGGCAATGTGTATTTGGGTGCAGTAACTATAGTTCAATTGGCGCCACGATCTTAAAGCACTGAATTCGTCAGTTTGGCCATCCTAGCGATTTCTACGCTGGACTTTATCTGCTGACGTTGTGATTGAACAGAAAAAGAAGATAGGCTGTCAGTTTGTGATTTGATGCTCGGGTGTAGAAGCTGTTTAGGGATAACATCTGTCGTTGCACTACGACTCCAGTTAGGGTCCTAGGGATTGTGCAACTCAGATGTAGCTCAAAATGTAGGCCGTTGGGGGCCCTACTGCTAACTAGTTTTTTGGCGTCCCATTGCGGCACTGTTTATATGCCTAAATGAATAATCATTCATCAGTAATTGGTCGTAAAATTTTCAAACATGGTTGTTAAAAAGCTTTAGATGTGTTAGTCTGCCATACATCGAATAAATGTATGACACTTCTGTGACTAGAACTCATCTCGTTTAGGATATTTGCTGTAGTTATCTTTACAGAGGTATTATCATTAATGGACATGTTGCTTAATACGTCAGAATTGTGCAAGCAATTATGTCGAAATACGTTAGATAAAATGATTCTTTTGATCTCATATTGTTGATCGAATTCTCTCAATGAAGGAACTGTGTTACAACTTATCTGTTTATCGTCCATTATAAAGGATTTTGTGAATATCTCTATTTATGATAAATTTGACCACTGCTATTCGTTTGTTTCCGTACGATTAATAATCACGTATGAGCTATTATTTAATGACTTATTGTTCATTTTTACAGATTCTTAATTTTGATGAAGCAGAAAAACGAGGAATAATATACGATAAACAGACTATGACATATCTTTTCGATTTGGATTTCGAAGGTGATGCTTATTACACTGTAGATGCTTCTCAGATGGGAAATATATCACATTTTATTAATCATTCGGTAAGTGTTTTGTTTACAAGAAGGTAATTATTACGATATTTCTTGGCATTATTTTTCTATTTGAAGTCTTACGCGCGTGTGACAAATCGTTAAACATTGGGTTGCTTAGTTGTTTTGTAGTATAATCCTACTACATTCCTAACTTGTCACTGTCTGTTCACCACCACCTCTTGAATTCCGTCTTTTAGGAGTATCATAAGAACTTAAAACACCGCATATATATGCATAGGTTTAATTTGTTAAACTACATCACAACGAGATAAAGTCATCACCATAGTAGTAGCATTATCAACGATTATTAAAAGGACCAGCATAGGGAATGTAGTTCAAAAAGAAAGGGTAAATTTGTGTAATAGGAATTCTAAAATAATTTTCAGACCTAAGATTTAGAGGTAGACAAAGAAAGAATGAATCTCCCCCATTGAGATAGATTTTAATGCATATTGAACAATGTATCCAACCATTGATCAGTATAATCGTGAGAAACTCAACCAATTAATCCTCGTCTACTGATATCTCTCAGCCTAGGTGTTGCCTTGTTATTTGGGGTTCAGTATGACCTACGATGTTATGGTTTTAGGGACGGAAACAATTGAGCTTCTCTAATACGATCGGGTTTCTTCGGGATTAACAACAGTCAATTATACTTAACACATGAAACCTGAAGGGCTAAGACTGGAAGAAATCGGAACTGCAGGTAACTTGATTTTTGTGGTAGAGCAAGCGACTCAAAAGGAATCGGTACAAAAGTTGTTATCATAGTAGCAAAATGTGACCTTCGAGCATGTAGTAATTTAGCGAACCACCAATGACAACCAATCAAAGGGTAAACGTCACGACGAAAATCGAATCGGCAGAAAGTATGGGAGTGGTTATCGTTCCTGAAGAGATCTTAGCCCTTCTAAGAAAATCTGACCATTCTTGCGACCGCCTTAGCACTAAGTCACTGTGTGGAGTAATGCCATGTTTTTGTTTGGTTACCATTGGGTTTCTTCTCACATATCCGGTACACCACCCAACGCCACTCGTCGGATAAGTAGCGAATGGCTACTAATATCCAAAATACAGACGATAACGATTAATAGACTTCCTATCTTTGATGAGTACTCTGTGTTTGACATCGACATTTCTCACTTGGTCTTTTCATTTATAGTACGCAAAAGATGAGTTAGTAAATCATCTGCGTGGAGCCTGGCACACATATCTGTTGATCCAGGTTGCCATACCAAATTAAAACGAAGAGACAAAGTTAATAAGATGTATAGCAAAAGAATTTCAGATAAAGTAATAGCGATGACGATGAAAAGGGCTAAGGACTGATAGTAGAATTCGAAAAGATAACGTGAAGGTTATATGAAGGAATGTTGAATTTCAAGATCGAAGTAAAAATAAAAAAGTAAATGCATCTGCACGATTGTGAGTGATTTTGAGCCATATTATCCAAAGCCTCCAACTACCAGTCTAGGTTATCGCGGGACTCAAAACAGGTGGTCTGTACTTCCTTAATCTCAGGAAATATTTTAGTTAGGCGTCAGTAGGCATGCACTTACTTACTTACTTACGCCTCTTACTCCTCGTGAAGGAGCATAGGCCGCTCACCAGCATTCTCCATCCAACCCTGTCCTGAGCAATCCTTTCCAGCTCCTTCCAGTTCTTATTCATCCTTTTCATATCTGCTTCTATTATCCGACATAATGTGTTCATTGGCCTTCCTCTTTTCCACTTCCCTTTAGGATTCCAAGTTAGGGCTTGCCTCGTGATGCAGTTTGATGATTTGCGTAATGTATGTCCTATCCATTTCCATCGTCTTTTCCTAATTTCTTCAGCTGGAAGTTGGTTTGTTCTCTCCCACAGAAGACTATTGCTGATGGTATCCGGCCAATGGATGTTGAGTATCTTGCGTAAACAGATACTTACAAATACTTGTACTTTCTTGATTGTGGTTGTTGTAGTTCTCCAAGTTTCAGCTCCGTACAGTAGAACTGCCTTCGTATTGAAGATTCTGACTTTGATATTGGTTGGCAGTTGTTTTGAGTTCCACATGTTCTTCAGTTGTAGGAATGCTGTCCTTGCTTTGCTAATCCTCGCCTTTACGTCTGCGTCTGAGCCTCCTTGTTCATCGATGATGCTTCCTAGGTATGTGAAGGACTCTACATCTTCCAGAGTTTCGCCATCAAGAGTGATTGGATGCAGAGACTGCTGCTACACTGGCTGTCTTCATCTGCATCTGTTCGTGTATACGCGATAGGAGGGCTAGGTCATCTGCGAAGTCCAAATCGTCTAAATGGTTCTGAGATGTCCATTGTATTCCGTGTTTTCCCTCAGACGTTGAGGTCTTCATATTCCATTCGACCACCAGAAGCAAGAGGAAGGGAGAGGGTAGACAGCATTGTCTGACTCCGATCCTTACATGGAATGCATCTGTCAGCTGTCCTCCATGCACGACTTTGAATTGTAGTCCGTCGTATGAGTTCCGGATAATGATGACAATCTTCCTAGGAACTCCGTAGTGTAGAAGAAGTTTCCATAACGTTCTCCTATCTACACTGTCAAATGCCTTTTCATAATCAATGAAGTTGATGTATAGTGACGAGTTCCACTCAACTGATTGTTCGACGATGATCCGTAGTGTTGCAATTTGACCTGTGCACGACCGATCCTTACGGAATCCAGCTAGTTGATCTCGAAGTTGGGCCTCTACTGCATCCTTCATCCGGTTCAGCAAAACTCTGTTAAAGACTTTCCCTGGTATTGACAGTAGTGTAATGCCTCTGTAGTTTTCACATTTGCTCGAATCTCCTTTCTTTCGAATCTTGATGAGGTGTCCTTCTTTCCAGTCCATCAGCACTTGTTCCTCCTCCCAAATCTTTCTGAATAGAAGGTAAAGCATGCTTGTGGTTACTTCGACGTCTGACTTCAGTGCTTCAGCTGGTATGTTGTCGGATCCTGCTGCTTTCCCGTTCTTGATTTGTCTGACGGCCATTCTGATTTCTTCCGTCGTTGGTGGGTTGACATCTGTAGGAAGATCTGTGTGTGCTGCTTCGATGTCCGGTGGATTCATTGAAGCTGGCCTATTCAGGAGTTCCTCGAAGTACTCTACCCATCTGTTCCACTGTTGTTGAATTTCATTGATTGGCCTGCCTTCTTTGTTCTTGACCGGTCTCTCTGGTTTACTGTATTTCCCTGCTAGTTTCTTCGTTGCATCGTAAAGTTGTTTCATATTTTCTTCCCTTGCAGCTTTTTCTGCCGTCGTTGCTAATTCTTCCACGTATTTCTTCCTGTCGGCTCTAATGCTTTTCTTCACTTGCTTGTTTGTTTCTATGTATTCAGCTTGTTCTTGAACTTTCTCTGCTCGTGTTCGGCTGTTGTTAATTGCTGCCTTCTTGTTCTTCCTTTCTTTGATCTTGTCCAGTGTTTCTATGGAGATCCATTCCTTATTATGATGCTTCTTTAGACCCAGAACCTCTTGATACGTTGAAGTTAATGCTTCTTTGATACTTTTCCAGTTGTCCTCCATAGTAGTTTCTTCTTCATTCAGTAGATCCTGTAAGGCTTGGAACCTGTTGTTGAGAGCTATCTTGAATTCATTGAGTTTGTCAGTATCTTGAAGGAAGGCTGTATTGAACCTTTGTAGTGCTGTTTGTCCAGTTGTCCAGTTCTTCTTTAGCTTCAGTTTTAAATTGGCCACGGCTAGGTGATGATCTGAAGCTATGTCAGCTCCTCTCCTGGTTCTCACATCTTCCATTGTCCTTCGGAATTTTTTATTGATGCAAATATGATCTATCTGGTTCTCTGTAGTGTGGTCCGGTGAGATCCATGTAGCCTTGTGTATACGTTTGTGTGGAAATATTGTGCCTCCTATGACCAATTTGTTGAATGCACATAGATTTGCAAATCTTTCTACATTTTCGTTTCTCTCTTCCAGTCAGTCCATGTCGTCCCATAATATCTTCATATCCGGTGTTGTCTATTCCGACTTTGGCATTTAGATCTCCCATTAGAATGGTGAGGTCCTTTCTTGGGCACTCCTCTATGATTGATTGCAGCCGCTCGTAGAATTGACCTTTAATGTCGTCGTTGCTATCATTGGTGGGTGCATAACACTGGATAATATTCATTGTGATCCCCTTCTTCTTTGTTTTGAATGATGCTTTGATGATTCTGGATCCGTGAGATTCCCATCCTACAAGTGCATGTCGTGCTACTTTGGACAGCACTAGAGCGACTCCCTGAGTGTGTGGAGCATTTTCCTCTTCGTGACCGGAGTATAACAGCATCTCTCCCGTAGCTAGCCTCTTCTGTCCAGCTTGGGTCCAATGGGTTTCGCTGTTTCCCAGTACTGCTAAGTTGTATCTCCTCATTTCCGTTGCTATTTGACTGGTCTTCTCGGTTTCCCATATTGTTCGAACGTTCCATGTACCTATAAAAATTCCTGCCCTGGTTGTTAGAAGAGGCATCGACCTCGTGGCTTCCGAAGGAACCCGGCTTTCACCATGAAGCGTCATAATTCTTCTAAATGAAGACCTTCTAACTTTCAGGGCAGAGTTTAAATGGTTTGAATTATTTTTTCTGGTAAGCGTTTTTCTAGCGAGTTAGATTTCTATGGGATGGGGACGCTAACCCCATGCCCAACCCTCCTCCTTTACCCTGGCTTGGGACCGGCAGTAACTCTAGAAGAGCTACAGGCGGAGTTAGTAGGCATGTAAAGCTCCTTTAATTTGATGAAGAGTAAATTTCTGGCCGATGCATCCTCTTCTAGGCCCGAAACCAGACTGGTTTTCCGAAGTTTGTTGTTTACGAGCCCTAGTTAAAGACTGACTATCAAGGCTAATATTTTAGATACTATATTATTCAAACTGATTTCTGTGGTTGTCGCTAGGTTGTTTGGTACTCATATACCAGAACGACCAGTGATCGCAACGAGGTGGATTGGATCATGTCCAGTTCTCAAACTCTAGCCAGTATCTCGATAAATGTACTTATTAAAACTAGGCCACCATCCTTAAAGGTCTTCGGTGGTAACTCGGTATAGCTGACCTTTATATCAGATTATTTATGATCTTTTCAAGGTGGTTAAGAGTTGATGACTTATTTACATCTCCTATTCGGGTTGTTTGGAACTCTTCGTTTCAATTGTCTTCAACAAGTGTACATCAAAGTCCCATATTTCTTGGAGTTAGTTTCACAAACACTCAACGTTGTGATAACTGCTCGTTTGATAAGTTCAGTTAGTTATTTATGGTTATCGATCACTACTCCTTTTAAGCATAGATAGATAAATATGCTACGATATAGCATAAGTTGGTTATATACAAATCCACAGAACGAACCATTGAATAGTAGAAAGATACTATATAAATTAAAAGTAAGTAATTTCGCGTACAGTTAATCACTACATTTTGACCCTATTGCCCTGAACCATAACATAATTAAATATCCAAGTCATAAAACGAAATACCAACTTGGCTACACATCACTTATCTCTGAATAGCTACATGATAACAAAGTGCTGATTATTTAACGGAAAATAAATGGAACGTATAAATAATCTATTACAACCAGTTCTGATTTGTTTCAGATTCATTCTTCTGACATTTTTGCGTTCTCTTAAGTCGTAGACATGTAATAAGCAGTTTGCTTTACGCACCTTATACTAAAGTACCATGGTGTATTTGTCTTATTGCAATGCGAAGTTTAACACAACTCAGTTGTTAGCTGAACTAAGCAACTGAAATAAATATGAAACAATTTGTGGGTTGTCAGAACTTCGTAGGTATTTACGATTGAGCTAAAAGCGATTCGACTGTGAACAAGATTATCTCAAGCACTATGTATGAATAAGAGCAGTTGTCGCTTCGTGGCTGACCATGCCATGGTAAGATATTTCTTCTCAAGTGACCTAAAAAAGAAACGTAGTAAGTCTTAGATTCCATTGCTAGCCACTATCCATCTTTGCTTAGTAGTAAAGAATAGTCTTCAGAATCTGAGAACATGACTACAGGGCTAAAGGGGAAACTGCTTAATACCTGTCTGCTATGTTTGAAGAGATTATGAGATCACCTAAATCTACCAACAGATCGAAGACTTCGCAACACGACCAATAAGCTAACCATTCTATGTGTCCCAACCCCGCTAACTAGAAAAAGTTTAGGTTCAGAAGAGGGAAAGTGTATTCCACAAGCAGCGAGATGCACGAACAACAACAACAAGCATAACTCAAGCGTATATATACAGCATAAAAATTTCCTTGGTAAACGTCACAAAAATAGCACAATGAAAGAGGCGACGAACCAGTGACATTAAGAGTTCTGCCAAGTGAGAATTACGATATGAAGGTGAAAACTCGAGTTTTTAAAATAAGATTACAAAAATAAACGTTTACCAAGTGAGTCCTGATTATCCAGTATCGCCAACACTGTCATACATATCCTTTTTGTGAGTAATGTTAAATTTGCTGGTCCCGTGCTTATACGGTCTTACCACCAGTGACAGCAATCTCTTAGGTGAGTCAAGGTGTACTATTTTTTAGACCCAACCTTATCTAACAGCTTCCCGTTATAGAAAGGCTGCACTGCTGCATAATTTGGTTGCCTGAAAGTGGCACCTTGCTGCCGTCACACTTGTGTGGTTGATAGTACGGTGTCCTCTTTGGGCCTCGAGTTTGGCTCCTTCAGACTCACCACAGTCCGACCAGCTGGCCTGTAATAGCCAAGCTAAGACTGTTGAAGAATGTGTTTCGGTTGTCGTCATTTGTTGCGATGCTTTTAACCCTCAAACGATGTCCAATTTTTTTATCTTGTTTATGCTACGTATGTTCAAAATTCTCAGAGTTGCTCAAGGCCTGTGTTGTTTGTATGAATGCTCCTCAGTGGGTAACAAACGCATCATATTTTTAAAGATATGTCCCCATGTGGTTTACTGCGAGGATCATTTGCAGCGCACTGCATAAAAATCATTCAGGAAATACGCATTTGTCTGCCATTTTCGGCTACAGCATTTGTGTTAAACCTATTGGTACCACTTGGATTACTAGGCCGAAATAGGGGGGAGGAGATTCGGACTTGCTACACATTGGTCGCATTTCGTGAGGTATATAGTGTAGAATAGTTTTATATAGTGCTTTCCAGATAGTTTAATAATGTTCAATTTATTATGTTTGATACAAATTACTATTACCATTTGGTTTGCCCTCCCTTTTTTAGTGTGATCCCAATCTCACAGTTCGTTGTGTTTTTATTGAGTGTCTCAATACGAAGTTACCCCGTATTGCGCTTTATGCGTCTAGATTTATAAGGAAAGGTGAAGAACTTACATTCGACTACAATATGACTGGTAACTGAATCCTTTATGATTTTTATATATAAATGCGTATATGTTTCTTATAGTTATGTCTTGCGCGACTAATGTAAATCTGCTAGTAATGAGCGTTTTGGATGGGATTAACAGGAAGCTTTCCAATCAAGTTTCTTGTTTTTTTATCATTAATGAACAATGGAAATTTGTCACTAAGAGTATATTTATGTTATTCTAACAACTTCAGGTGGTAAAATTAAACTAAATATATTTACTCGAAGCTATTTGAATCGATTCCTTGAAGAGTTTAATATTAGAACTCTTGTATAAATATCTTATCCAACATTGCTTGTACATCTTGCAAATGTGACCCAAGTCTCATTTTTGTTGATTTCTTTCATTTGAGGTTATTTCCTGGGTAGCTTAGTTAAAAGTTTCCATTCCTTAGCACAAGTAATAAATAAAACAATAACTTTGTTTTGTTTCGAGACCAACTTTCGAATTGATATGTTATTGTATAACACTATAGGACTTTTTATTTTCAGGTGCTGTGGCTGCGGACACTAGTGTAGTTATAGATGGTGCCGGAGAGGCAGAAACTCCTTCAGAAACCCAGTCAGGGTCATCGAATAATGGTGGGAAGAGTCCGACCCCATCTTCTTCCTCAGTTGACGTAACTCCTGACACAAGCAGTGAGGTAAGTGGGTGTTTGCAAGTTAAGTCTGTAGATTTGTTCTAAAATATTTGCTTCTGTATTGTATTTTCATCTGACATACTACTCCAACTCGACTATCTTCGCTCGACTAGATGGCTTTTATTCTCTGAAGAAGTGGCTTACGCTGAGTCACGAAACGTCAGAAAATCTAATTGTTTGACTCATTGGAATATTACAAATATATTATTTTTATTTATATATGCCCATTAGTTTGTATCTCTGTCTCATCCCAATTGCGTATGAAATAAATATGTAACAGTGCAGCTTTATCTTGAACCAGTTATTTTGCTCCAGTGTGAGACACTGTTGGAACTGCTTCTCTAGATGAAGTTATCTTTTTTTACAGAGGTTTTGAAGGTTGGGTGTTGTAAGCAACGTATATCTGCTTGACATGTAAGAATCGGTAAAACCAAACTGACCGAATTTTCTGAGGAGGTTAACTGTTCCCATTGCAGGTGATAATTTCATCATGCTTTATGTAGTTGCTCACTCCATCATTGTACCTGGTAGTCAGTTAATTACCCATCATATCGTCAAATTCACGTTTTCGATGGCTCTTTAGTAAATTCAGAACTCATGGCTTCAGCCAATCACAGTCACTTTTAAAGTTTGTAATTTGATTGGCTAATTGGTTTCTCTCTCTCACCTGCCCATGTATGACAGACTTTAAATAGATTAGTCATATCAACCCTATGAATGAGTCATGGAGGCGCAATTTAAAAGGTCTGATCTGTGGATGGATAACACACAGATAATGAATGAGTCGTGAAAAAGTTAATCAGTAATCGGGATTTGAACCGCTTCGACATCATTTAAGGTTATGGTTGTATGGGATAGACTTTTAATAACTTTTAGCAAATAACTCCAACAGATTGAATTTAAACAAATAAATTCTTGTAGTTCTCTGTGTAAAGTTTCATTTTATAAGTAAAGTTTTGGTGCCAGGATCAGCAGATCTTCGCGAATACTATATTACACATACTGATGGTAGTCTGGATTTCTAGTTCAAGTCAAATCTTATTGTGTTTCGATAATTTGGCAATATCTGGAATATTCAAAGTCCTACGACATGTTTGTATGGATTATTACAAATATGAAGGTGGGGTTTTAAATTATTATCCAGTGTTCTATTGAACATGGATTTAATATACGCCTCTTTTTCCTTGTTGGCCATATTTGTGTTGTTACGTTGAAAGGTGCTTTAGGTTTATGGGACCAGTTAACTATACCATAGGATTCTATTCTGATTTATTGCTATTAAAGCTGAACAATATCCAGCAATGGAACCTAGTAAAGCACCCTACCCATCCTATTTGAGACTCGTTGGGTCAATGTATTTCCGTTCTAGTGTTGATTTTCAGAATGAAACTCAAGCCCACTACTTTTTGCTTTAAGCACTACCGCGTTATCTGCTGACCTACTGAGTCCAGATATCTGGTAGCTTGTGCAACATGCACTGATTTTATTTGGAAGGGTTTTTCCCCCATTATTGATGCTAAGAACTAGATATACGTCCTGAAAAGTTCCACATAGGATGGAACGCTCATTCTGTTATTCACTGCTAGCCATTATTCAAATCTACCATTTAGATTCAGTTTACATTGTTTACTTTGAAAATAAAAATTCGTTTCCTACAAAGTAACACTATCATACCACTAATTTCAAAATGCTTCCACTTTGTTTACCTATTGCAGGTGTCTTTCGATAGCAAATCTCTGGGATCTAAAGTAAGAAATTTTTATTTGATTAATCTGGAATGATTTATTATTTAAAAAAATATTATTTATGTCAGTTTTTTTGACAGGTTTGTGTCAATAATTCACATATACAGATCTCTTTCAACAATTCACCATTCAGCACAATATAAGCGTCATTATTACCAGTACTATTGTTCATACCGGTATTATTACTTTACGTTCCAAACACTACCTATTGAAAGGGTGTTTTAAAACGATCAGTAGTCTTTTTATTATGAATGTTTTGGCTTATGACCAGAAACCGGATCAAAACGACTCTTCAGTACTTTATAAATCCCCGCTAATTGCATATTTTTGGCTGCCTGTAGAATGTTTTCGAAAATTTCACTATCAATTATATGAAGATAACTATCTTTTATTTCAATATATCAAGTAGGTAAATTGTTGTACAAAATATCTGACATCGAATTTGGAAAATCTGGTTTTTGCAACTCATAGTGAACACTTAAGTCTAACTCCGAGTTGTTGCCTGATTTATATAAAAAGTAAACCTTTATTGTCTTTGTTAAAAAAGACTCAGAGGCGCTTATAATTTGTATGTCAGATAGAAAAACACTGAACAACCGGGACAAAAATAACAAACACAATGTGTCTGTTAGGTTATTGGAACTAAAAAGCTATCTTTTGGTCCAGTGGAAGTTCATATGCGACTGGTTCATGGAGTACTTCATGTTAGAGATTTCCATGTTTGAATTTTGAATATATCCGTCTCCATGATGTAAAATACGAAATATCGCAGCCGTATCTCTTCTCAGTCCGCTGATGTTCAGAGATCTTCCAAAGCTTTCTGCTATGATGAGATTTCTTTATTCCTGACAATAAAAAACGTTTGTCATGAATTATTCAAATAAATTTGTTGTTGAATATTTTACCACTTATTTCTTTTTCAGCTGAAAATTTCGTTAAAATTTGAAATAGTTGATTTTAGAATAGGTTTATAAACTTAAACTGTATGAATATAATGATTGGGGTTGGTACAACATGTCAACACTAAACATTATTTATAAACAATGTAGTGTATAGATATATTCACTTATCATCGGAATGAAAGAAATCATTGATCTATTCCTGTTTGTTAATTTCTCTCTCTACTGAAGAGCGGTTACTCATTAGTTAAAAGGTTTATTTATTTATTCATTTGAACACAAATATTGGTACGAAGGGGCATCAGATACATATGTTCCACACAAAAATTTCATTTGGTTTGTGTGTGGGCTGTGATACTGCCTGGGTACCCAGACCGAAGCAAGTGGTATTCTCGGGGGTCCACACCCGAAGCCTTCGACGTAAAGGTCTGATCCATAGGGCAGTAAAGCAACAATTAGGAAGTGCAGTCCCATGGTAGTCGGTGACCAATAGTAGGTTCATGTGCCTTTTGCTCCTTTAGGATCCTGGAGCTCATGTTTACCATTGGTTTAAAACCAGGGTTTCTCCATATCCACTAACCCGGTTAAAGCGCCGGGCATTCGTTTCTCGTTCTCTCAATTTCCTAAACAACACCCGTGGCGCGAGAAGGCAGTGAGTAAGACTTCCCTAACAGTGGCTGTATACGCGAGGCCATCCGTTTGGTTGTAGGTTCGAACATCACTTCACCTATTTCAGTTTTTCGGCAGTCAGATAGTATCACTAGTTTGGAGACTTAGAGTTTAACTGGAAACCAGTTGTATTGTTCAATACTTTGTGAATGAATTTTATATTTTTCTTTTGTTCCACGTTGCGCAAGTTTCGTCTGACAGTCATTTTTTGAGATAACTGTCACTTGATTTGTCTGTAAAAGAAGGGTTCTTCGTGTGTAGAATTAGCTGTAGTTCATCGGTTTTAGCATATGGCTTGTGATCAAGTGGTTCACTGTCGCTTCACTTCAACCGACTCAGTTTTGACAGCCAATTGACGTTTTTAAACGTTCACATAACAGGTACGTCTGGAATAAAATATAGATAGCTTTGATAGATCATTTAGTTCTATTTAAGATAGTATTGACCCTTGGATGATAGGCTTTTGTATTTATGATACGTAAAGCCGGATTTACTAGGTAAAGTTATTGATGTTATTGATTCACAATATTTATTAATTTAACAATTGTTGTTTGAAGCTCGATGCAAACGTTGTGTCGTGATTCGGAAAAGTAATTTTTTGTTTTTTGTCAATTTATCTGGAACACTGCATGACGAATATCGTGTGTGTTTACTTCATAATATATTGTTGAGGTAGTAGTTTTTAATTACTATGATAAACCATGTCTTATACTAATTCTCAGATAAACATGGTGACGTCTTTGATCTTAGCAACTAAAGTAATATATTCATCTTGTGGCTGAATCATATATCTGAATACTGATAACCTTAATAAAACTGTGATTTAACGTTTAAAGCACGGCCTTTAGTTATTAGTTCACAAATCCAAACTTCTGCTTACGTTCTAAACTTCATATTACATACCATAATACAGTGGTTACTGGAGTGTACATTGGCAATAGGGACATTATTATTGTTTACATTGGCATTTAAAGCTTCAATCCTGTTTTAAGTTATTATAATGGTGGTCCAGTGTATACAAGGATGAATTCCTATAGCTTTTAGACGTTTCTGTTATGGAAACAGGGATTCCTTATATCATTATTTTCCAAATATCATTTACCCGTTTTCGCCTAAGATACTTCAACGTTCCCTAAGTATACTGAATTCCGAAGGTATTCACAAGTTAAATCGATCGTGAAATCTCATTCGGCGAAAAGTTCTATGGTAACTAAGGTCTTGTTTGGATTTTTTCGTTGTGATTAAGTATCTAACTTTTGTTCTCAGTAGCTTTTCTTTGTATCCGACTCCAGTTAAACATTTAATTTCTGATGATAAGCTCTTGGGACTCATTATGTGCCTGCAAGTAGCTGTTCTATAAATTTATGTCCAATTCGGCTGATATATCGAAATAAAACCTGACACCATATATGCATTCTGTCGTATTATGTTTTTTGATGTTGAGTTGACCGATTATGAAACTTGAATCCGGAGAAATTTGTGAAATATTTATGACTGGCGAAGACATAGCATTGAACTTTCCTTGGGTTCGCTTAAACTTACTGTATATTTTCTCATTATCGGTTTTAATGAAGTCTCAACTTTTTCACATTTCTGGTATAAATATCCTTATTTCACAGAATAAGATTTTGTCTCATGTCAACAATTTTAGTAAATCCTGCACAATCTACTGATCTATAGTTGAGATCGACCTTCAGGAATGTTTACTATTTCACACATTGAGTTAGGAAGCTATTTTACGATGTAGTAAGAGATTCAAATCTGACTATGTGCGAGTAACCTTTTGGGACTCGAATTTCAGACCTCAAATAATGGTCATGCCTTTCAGTTAAATATCCGAAATTCTCCATATGAAGATGTCATCTGTGACCTACGGTATAAACACCTGCAATTAAGTTCAAAACGCTGTCTAAAAATTTAGTAAATAAACTGAAACCCTTTGTAATGAGAGTTGTCGCATTGTGCTGAATACTGACTATAGTAGTCTACTCATTTGCTTATTCTTCTCAAGTGACTAAGCCAGCTTTTGGTAATTGTTGTCGCATCCCTATTTTCTCTATATTCTTATCATTGACTTTGATTGTGTTTCCTAGGAATACTACCTTTGCTGGCATAGAAACATTGAACAGACTAAAATCAGGAGTACACAGCCCAACTACATAGAAATATAATGAAAAATTGAAGCTGGTGTCTGTTTTTTTACCTAACAATACTGTTAACTTTGTCTCCCCACAATTTTGAAAACGTAGTTCGTGGTAAATTGTTAGTGGATGTCTCGTTTCTTAGTAATTGTCAACTTAAATTCCCTGTTGACCGAACTAAATTCCTGTTAAGACGAAGTTCTACACCCTTTTGTTGAGTTTGTATGTTTAATAGTTCTCAGTTCTTTCTGAAAATTGCCTTCACATGCAAAATCACAAGATCTACTAAATCAGTTGAAAACGAATTCTAACTAGGTAGCTATTTCAATAAAGTTGTCTTAAAGTTTCAATCGGAAGGCATTATTCATAAAATCGACATAATTAAAAATAAGATAGCTCATTGGTAACATCCTATGAAAATAGGATTATTTCACCAACTGACCAATGTTGAAAGAATATCATTGAATTTCAAGTCCATGGCTACATCATGAGCTTAAAGTTGGTGAATGCTCACTATCAAGGAGTGTCAGGTTAAGTCTATGTTGTCTATGCTTATTTATCAACGGTGAAAATGTGTCTAGTTGGCCAGTTTCTTCTTCATTAGCTTGGTTAGTCAATTGTATAACATCTTAGGAGTACGCTATATAATGCTCAGTATGTTAAGGGCGTGTCAAGGTTTATATGTTCTTTATTGTCGATGTGTAAAAGTTCCATTATCTCATCAAACATTGGAGCGCAAAGTACTGTGAATAATTGAAATACCACTGAAATTTGGGTCATCAATGGTGTCAGTGTACTGAATACTTTCTCTAAAATAATGGAGATTGCAGTATAAGGAACCATTCCGATTGATTAACGATTCTAATACCATGTACAAAGGTTTCTTTTAGCTTTGAAGACGTAACTAGGTGATTAGTTTTCCATGGGTTCTGAAAAAGCTTGAGCATATTGTTTCATAGAATTTTTCTCATCTAGTTCCTTTTCAGATCTTATACCGACTACTTGACCTTTCTCAAGTTGTTTGGTTGTATGCTTTTTTATTGAACCAAACAGTAAGTATATCTATGTAGTATTTAGTCGGCAACAAAGAGAGCAGTCTTTATTGTTTTGTTCCTTGTCCTCTGCAAAAGGCTTTTAAGTGTCGAAATGAATTTGAGTAGCTTGTAAAATACGAAATTTAGCTTACTATTGTAGAGAATTGCTGCATTAAGTGATTTCTTGGATCCATACACCTTTAATACTAGTTGGATTTTCGAAAAAATACCAAAACTACACGGAACTGAGTTCGATTATACCATTGTAATACTACGAAGTGATTCTTAAATTTATTAGCATTCTTTTAAAATTAATCATGTTAGACTCATCTATATGCTTTTCGTTCAGCTCACTTCCTTTGTTTACATGTATATATTACGCTTTGTTTTCTATTTTGTGTCATAGGGTCCTCGTATGAAGTGCTTATGTCGAAGTAAAAACTGTCGTGGATATTTAGTCAACTAGAAATTTTTACTGACTGTTTATGGCGTACGGTAAAGCTGAAATACAGTCTGCTTATAACCATATACAATGTCAGTTTTATCCACTCAGGCTTCATGTATTTTTAATGAACCATTAGGAATATTTGTATTGAGGATTATATTTGATTCTTATTTTATATCTATTGTAAATTATACTGTTCTATATAGCAAATATATATATGTATATGTAAAGATAATTGGTATAGTTTGCAGATTAAATGTATACTTTGTGTCTTTTTGTTCATCAGCATTTTACAGTTTTTTATAGTGACAATAGATTTAAGGCACTGAAAATGTACGTCTATTCTTTTAAATGCTTCTATACATTTCAGTTGTTTTCATTTACTTTTATCCTGAGAAGGTAACATTTTGTTGTTAATATATTTACGATATATCTGTATTCAGTGTTAATTTAGCATATTACCTGTAATGATTTAACGAAAGACCAATGTATATAAGGATGTAAAGGAATCACATCCTGTTTCTTATCATAAGCAGTATAACCATACAACTACATTCAATTGTTTTAACATATAACAAACATTGTTAATCAATCACTAAAAAAACCACTTGTGAGTTATATACCTGCACATTTGCCATTCACTTGGTTCGTGTGGAGTATTTCGAGTTAAATGAAGTCACATACCCGTTTTAGTGCTTTTCGGTTGGACCTTGT